AACTGAAAAAATGCTTCCCTTAGTCTTACTTTGGAACACCAGAAGTGACCATCTGTGAATGCCCCTGGATGATAAAATCCCAGTTCTAATTGAACTTGTTTCTTCTCAACCTACCTATTTCTCGAGCTAGGATAACACTACTGAGGCGTATTGGTTGGGTAGATTCAGCAATAAGCACAGCTCTTTGGGAACACAAGGTGCTGTTTTCGTACAAAGGCTCAACGGTGACTGCATCATGATGGCTAGAATGCCTGCCAGAACAAAGAACTTGGAGTATGAAAAAATGAACTAGTATAGAGTTGCTTTTACCCTCCCCTACAAAAAAAATACTCAGTCCTTTTCCAATTCATAAAGTATCCCATGTATTAGTACCTAATGAAGAATGCTCATCTCCTAAGGGCACATACTATAATGCAGGGCTTGAACAAGTTCTTTTTTTAAAGGTCTGTTTGCCAAAAATCTCTGAAGTAAATGTCAATCTTTCCCTAAACTTATAAAATCGAATATAAAACTTGTATCTTTATTTTGGGCAGACTGTGTCTCCTCACAGAAGCTGGGACTTGAAGAAGTCCAGATCCGGGTTCACCTAACCACTTAGTATGCTAAAAAGCCAAGTTCCATTGCATTCTGTCAACCCAAGAATCATTAAACCATAGGGCCAAGTCTCTTTGTATATATACTTCAGACTCTGGGAAGGGGCCTCTCATATAAAAGGAAGTAGAGAAAGAAAGAAAGAAAGGGTGCTCACATTTTAGGAAGGGCCTCTTTCCTCCCAGAGACTGAAAGTGCTCACCCCAGCCAGCAAAAGTCAGTTCCCTTATGGGTCTTTCACACTTCTGAGGGGTGACTGTGAAGAAGCTCATTTTCTAGGAGAACCAGCTTTTCACTCTTGGTGGGAGGTGGGGGTGTTGATGAAGCTCGTTTTTAGATGAGTCCTACCCTTCCCCAAAGCTAGGAGGGCCCTTGGGGCCTATGGCCACGTGGTCCTGTGGGCCTTTCACTCTTGGTGGGAGGTGGGGGTGCTGATGAAGCTTATTTTTAGATGGGTCCTACCCTTCCCCAAAGCTAGGAGGGCCCTTGGGGCCTATAGCAGAATGGCCCTTTAGGCCTTTCCTGCTCTGGGGGACCAAGAGCTGGGATTGGGATGGGGGAGGTAGCTCACGTCCCAGTAAGTGACCCCTTTTGCAAAGGCCGGGGCGCACTCATCCCAGCCCCGCCCTGCCCTCTGGGCCATTCGCGGGGGCTGCAGCGGAGGCTTCTGCAAGACAGAAGGGCTCCTTCCCAAAGCAAGGAGCAACAATCCCGCTCGGGCCTGGTTCCGTTCGTTTGTGGGGTCGCCGCGCTCGATGAGCCCTCGAGCCCCCGGGGGGCCGCCCCTGCGGTCCCAAAGGCTGGGGCCCCTCACCAGGTGTAGCAGCCCCGTTGGGCCTCCAGCAGGAATGGCACCCGGCCAGGCTCTCGGCCGAAGGGCAGCAGCACCTTAGGAACGTTGAGCTTGTTGGCCCGGGATCCGAGAACGCTCAGCAGCAGCAGCTTTAGAGGCAGGGGCAGGGGTGGCCCCAAGAAGCGCCTCAAGCCTCCGGCCCCTCGGACTCCAGGCCTCCTCATGGCGGCCCAGGCTCCCGCTCAACCACCGGCCACGCCCCGCCTCACAACAGCCAATGGGCGGGAGGAGGGGCGGGGCCTCGGCGCGCGGGGAGGGCGGGGCCAGGCGTAATTCAGGCAAAAACCGCTGGAAGATTCGCCCCACCCCCAACTCATGCTGAAAGTAACGGAGCAGGGACTAGAGGCGAGATGAGCTTCGTGGACTAGTTAAACTTGCTTTGTAAATTCACCTCCAGAAAGACGATTCTCCAACCAGTTAGCCCGCCCCTAGTTAGTAGTAATTTAGCAAAAGAAGGCCCCTCCCCCTCGGCGTGGCACCACTTACTCCCCAGGGATAGAAACTAACCTGGAGGCAGAAGGCGAGCACGTGACGTGCGATTAGATACAATCTGAGCTGGAAAAGACCTTCATCTTTTGGGAAAGATCATCTAGTCCCAGCTCAGTTTTATAGGAAATTAAAGCCCAGAGGGGTGACTTGCTTGAGGTTACTCAGTAGGCACACAATTCGAACCCAGGGCTTCTGATTCCAAATTTCTCCCCGCCCCAGTTTCCGAACGTCTTCATAAGAGTTGCATTAGAACCAGGACGAATGGATAGTATAAACAGCTTAATTTTATCTGGAGCCTCTTTTATGCACCGACTATTCCCTCCTTTACTCCAGTCTCTGACGAGCACGCCGCTTCTCCTTACAAAAGCCAATTCTTTGTACTCCTGACCCACTCCTGTTTTCTTCGTCTAATTGTTTCAGCAATCATTCATTTTATTCTTTCTTTGATCTTCAATCTCGTTAGACCAGAGGTTCTTAACCTGAGTTTGTGAATGATAGGTAGGTAGATAGAAACTGTATTACAATATACTTGTTTTCTTTTGTAATTCTATGCACTTTATTTTATGCATTTAGAAACATTATTCTGAGAAAGGGTGCATAGACTTCATTGCCAAATGAGTTAATAGCCAACAAAGTTTCAAGAACTCCTGCTGTCCTCAGTCAGCAAGCATGTATTAAGCACGGTGACAGGTTAGGCACAACACCCATAGGTGTCCCTCACCTTAAAAAAAAATGCCCCAAAGCCAAAAATTTCTTTAACTTTTATCATCCCTTTATAGTCCCATGTCTTTCTTCCCTTTCACAGCCAGAGGGCGGATAAAAGGGGAAAAGCAGTCCACATTCCTTGCTTCCATTCTTCACTCATTTCCACCAGGCTTCCTCTATCATCACTCAAATGAACCCCTCCTCCCCCACTTTCCCTGCAAATTGCCAGATCTGATGGCCTCTTCCAAATTCTCACTTCTCTGTATGTGATGCTGATCACCCCTATTCTTTCCTTCTGTATACTCACCTGGATCACATGAAAAATTTTCCAATGTTCACGACTTGTTTGTTCTCCCACCTTTCTGACATCTCCTCAGTCTCCTTTGCCAATGATATATTATCATTGATGCTCTACTCTCAGTGAGTACCCCAAGGGCTATCAATGGTGTGGGACCCTCCTCTCTCTGGAGCTTCAGACCTCATGTCCTATCCTTTCAATAGTCTTCAAATGGATCAAATGAGCTATGTGTAAAGGGCTGCGCACAGTGCCTAGCACATAGTAGGCACTTAATGGTTGCCCTCCTTTCATTCTCCTATGACACTCTCCTATTTCTGCCTTTTTGCACAGGTCTGTCCTCCATGCTTGGAATGTATTCCTTCATCCTTTTAAGTCTCTGGGCTCCATCAAAGCTCAGCTCAAACACCATCTACATTTCCTTAACTCCCCAACTGTTAATGCCTCCCTCTCTGCCCCCAAATTACCCTGTATGTCATTTCCTCAAACCAGTAAAATCTAAGTTCCTTGAAAACAGATTATTTCATTTTTGTCTCCAGTACTAGACTCATGTAGTATCCAGAAGAGGCCTCAAAAAAAAAAAAGACCCCAAGTTAGAGTTGGGTTAAAGTCCTGTTTCTGGCACATACTGGCCTATTCTGGATGGCCCCAGGCAAGTCTATGGACACTTCAAGAATTTAAGTTGCTGGGGCAGCTACGTGGTGCAGTGGATAGAGCACTGGCTTTGGAGTCAGGAGGACCTGAGTTCAAATTCAGCCTCAGACACATGACACTCACTAGATGTGTGACTCTGGGCAAGTCACTTAACCCCAATTACCTCAGCAAAAAAAAAAAAAAAGAATTTAAGTTGCTAAGAAGGTGCTTAGGTCCCATACCAACAAGAACATGGATCTAGATCACTAGTCATATCACCTAGGGTGATGGCTGGCATAGAATAGATTTTGAATGTTGAATGAAGTCAAAATCTCTAATTTACAGGTGAGTATCTTAAAGATGAGTTTGAGATCCATCCTCTCTTCAAACTGGCTGAAATACAGGGCAGAGTATAGGTTACTGCTGTTTCTAAAAGACAAAGAAATGGCCTAACTGCAAGTCATCAGATTTGGAACTTCTCCAGAGTCAGAGTAAAAACCAAAACTTGCGAGACAAAAATTGGACGACTTCAAGCCCCATAGAGGTTAACAGACAGTCACTACACTATCTGCCCAAGGCCAATTAGATGGGATCCTGCCTTCCCTATGCCTGTCCCCTTGCCTATAAAAGGTGAATGATCCTGGCTGAACCCACCTCACAGGATTATCAAAGGTCAAGTGAGAATGCAAGTAAATTACCAGAAGGCATCTCTGTTATTACTGTGGCTTTCGGGGAAGAGAGCATGGTCAGGTTAATAAATGAGAAGCAAGCAGTTCTGAGGGTGGAGGGACTGGTTCTTTATTTCAAAACACATTGTCAATTTTCAGTATCAAAACACTTGCACTATTGGTTCCTCTTTCTCCAGATTGGCTCCCAAATAGACCACACCAAAGGAGAGTACATTTAAGCCAATAAGCTGCACGATGCAAACCTAACACAGACCTCACAGAAACCTCAACCCCCCCCCCAAAAAAAGAAAAAAAAAGGAATTAAAAAAGATCAGCACACTGGCAGCTCATGGACTGCAGACAGAGAGCACTCACA